CTTCCAAGTCACTGACTAAAATGTGAAATGGCATATGGCCAAGAACCAATACCTGATGGAGCTCACTAGCAGTGGTTTCCCATTGACAACAACATTTAAAGAGCTGTCACTTAATTACCTTTTAATCTGGTTTATATGTATTTGGCTGATTTTGGTTTGGGTTTTCTTTTCAGTTCCTTCCCCCTCAGCTGGTTTTAGTCAAAATGTGTTGTGCTGGCCCAAAAATGTCACAGAAATCTAAAAATATTGTATCAAATCTATTACTCTTAATAAAATTTTTAGTTTCATAAAAGTCAAATTAAATAATTGTTGTTAGCCCATGTTGACTGACATCATTTCTGTTTTTAAATCCTCAGTAGTCCTCTGAGTTGTTCCTTGGTTTTTAAAACCTTTACCAAGTTGAGACACCAGTTAAATGTTTTGATATTTCAAAGGGGTGACTTTTGGCTCCCCCTCCCCCCCACCCATTGGAACTTTCTCAATATTCCAAGCCTTTCTGGAATTAAACATTGCTGCAAACATTCTTTGAGTAACTCCCAGAGAGGAGGAGGAGGGGTTAGGGGTGGTAAAATAGCCTACATAGCATTTCAAGACGTTAACTTAAAAATGTTAAATAACATCACCTTCTTGGATTGTGTTGAATGATCGTATGCCATTCTATTGAATGTTTGTTCATATACTACCATATTCTTATAGAATTCTTTAGGTACTATTCATATGTGCCTTTTTTGATTGTTTTTCTTTGCTCTGACCCTTGTAGCATTTCTGAATTTTTACTGATGTTCTCTGCTTTGAATCCCCCTGCCCCTCTTCCAACGTCTTGTCTTTTCTTTGTGCTTTCACTCTTAGTTGCATTGTGGTTTTGGATTTTGTTAGGGTTCTTGGTATTTCCTACCCCCCCCCCCGATACTGTTTTGAAGGATTTAGGTAAAAAGTTCTTAGATAGTTAAGAAATTTAAACAAAAGATGTAAGCAACTATTGTCTTAATTGATTTGACGCAATTTCCAGCTATTTGAAGTTGTTCTTCTAAAGTTCAAGGTGCTATTTATTAGGCTGATTGCTTATTAGAAATAAATGTAGATAAATCAGTTGTCTTACTTCCTGTTACAATTGGTCTACAATATCTACTGTACTTAACTAGTGCCCTGGCTAGTGCTTATTTGGTCTATTGAGATCTTTCATACAAATTGATATTCACACATTAAATTGATGCTCACAGAGTTGATGACCATGTATGTTTTATTTTCCCCCTTCAAGGCCCTTGCTATGTTGATTTTTTTTGGAGTTTTTTTGAGTTCAATTTATGTAATAGTAAAGACAGGTTGTAGCCTTTCTTTTCTTTACTACTGTCAAAATGATTTGACTTCCAGTTAGTGGTACAAACTTTACTGCTTTGACTTGATACATGTGTAGGGCTGAATTATGTAGTGAGTATTAAAGGCTATGTTTGAGCTGTCACATGGAAAGAAAGTATTGTTTGAAAAACTAGGCTCTGTGTCCATGGCAGTCCAGAAATGCATCCCTGTCTCCTTCTGAAGATCTTGCATTCCTGGTTTTTAGAGGGGAGATTGTGTCTTTGGCTCACCCACGTTGCTTGAGATCAACAAAATCCTCTCTTGGACTGTGATAACACTCTAATAGTGTTATCTCAAGGAGCCAAGTAGCTGCTTAATCATGACAAGAGCTCTTAATTTTAAGGCAAAAGAGGATCTAACTGGATAATTTTATTTCTAAAGCTTGAAGTCAAACTGTGGTGTTAAACTGTTAAGCAACAAACTAAAATGTAATATTTATGACTTAAAATACTGATTACAGAAGGGAGGATGAAAATGCCAGAAAAGATGAATATTAAACTGTTTATGTGCAGAGACAAAACTAGCAAGATTTAATGATGCTGGAAACTGCATCGTCAACTTTTATCTTTAATTTTATTTTTTATGTTTTTAGCTTTAATTTCTGTGCTTGTTACTTGTAGCGTAAAAATGGCACATCCATATTCTGATTTTTGTTAGAAGACTTCTTAGAGAATAATATTTCTTAAATATTGCTTTACTTTTAGAGCTAACAGGTATGAAAAAGTATTAAGTTATTCTACTCTTGCTTCAGTACTAAGGGTTTTCTTTGTTCTTTCTGGGAATTTGGTTTTTTTTTTGGTAACTCTTCACTTACTGGAGAGCCTTCTCATATGAAGTGTTTTACACTTTGAAATGATTGTATTTTGAAAAGAAATTAAAACCTTTTGGGTCTTAGTGCAAGAATTTCGGAAAAAAAAAGATGTTTTCCCTTGTATAGGTCAGCAGTTACAAGGGTTAAATGGATGGCTGCTTTCATAGTGAGGAACTTACTTAAGGGAAAGCTCTAAATTATCAGGATCTTCATCCTCTTTTCTCTCTTCCGTTATTCCTGCAACTTTTCCACTGGCCCTGCTCTTCAGCTGCTGTGAACTGTCAAACACTGAAATATAGATGGTGGAAATATGGAAACTGGGATTTAGCGGAGGCAGCCATGTTAATTTCTCTTCCATTTGAAATGCAGGAAAATATCATCTGCCAAATGGAAAAGGACAATCGGTGGGAAAAGAAATGTTCTTTTCAAGCTTCTAAGAGCAGTGACAATGGAGAGAAAAAATACTATAAAAAGTAGGCAGCTCGTTTTTCAAGATCTTGTTTTCAATGTATTATGCATGATTAACTGTATGCAGTTGCTCTTTCAGAGTCCTCAATGACTACAGAGCAGGGCTTAGTCTTTACTGCACTGCACTTTGCGTCTGGGGGGAGTAGGGCTCAGCTTCATGGTGGTTCTGCCAGTCTTTAGTATAATTTTGAATACATTCATACTTCCCTTATTTGCCTTTTTTAATGTCAAGCATTGCACATAAGATGTTCTGCTGTTGCTATGCAACTGCTAAATCCAATATTTAATATTAATAAAACCCGAGTGGCATTAGCATCACTGAGAACAGTGGGCTAGCAAACTATGATTGTACAATATCCAAGCTGTAAAACTTGGCAGGGACTTCAGTGTGCAATTGCATGCATGGCAAACTGTGGGGCATGAGTCATTGGCAGTTACTATTTTAAGAGCGGTGAGTTTGGGTAAAATTTCTGAGCTCTCTTTATTTTTATATATAATAAAATTTTTTTAAACAAAAAGGTGAAGAATGAGGTTAGTTAGCTGTTTCTCATAAGGTTTCATTTCAGATACAAATTCTGAGGGATCACTACCCATAAAAGAGTCAATGTTAAAAACCTATGGGTCAATACCCTGATTCTCCTATTTTTCTTCTAGGTCAGGTTGGTCGGCCCTTTCCCACTGTTCCTGCCACTTGCTGAAGCCTGAATTGGCTTTTTTTGGAGGCAGTGCTACTTCTCTGCCTGACAAGGTGCTGTTCCATGGATCACCCCAGGCTTCATCTCAGGCTCTTTTTGACCCTCTTTAGCTCTTTGTTTTTTTAAAGCTGGATCCTTTCATCTTATATTCTCTCTCTAGAAATCAACTCTAATTTTTTTCTTCCCCCCCCCCCCCCCCCTCTTTTTCCACTTGATCCTTTCTGAGCTTAGATGTTTTAGTGCCAGCCTCTGATAGGCATTAGAGCACGGATGGTGATGTACCCCAGCAATGCTCTGGCCATCAAAGTCGTGTTCTAGGCTGCAACTTCTGTAGGGTCCCGCATCTGATACCTGAAGAGGTTGGTGCACTGGCACCCTTGCTGACGTCCAGAGGGGTGTAACTCTACTTGTCTTTGCCTTTTGAAGACTGCTGTCCAGAAGATAACTTTGATCTGCATAAAGTCAGAGTTATTTTAGAATTACTGCAATGTAATAATCATTTTCTTTCATAGACGTGATCCATTTTATTTCCACTGGTTTCTTAAAATGGCTATTTCAGGTAACTTATCTGTCCCTGATTCACCCGTGCAAGTTTATCTGAATTTAAAACCGTATTTTTTCCTTTCTTTTTTTCTTTTTTTCTTTTTTTCTTTTTTCTTTTTTTTTTTTTCTTCATTTCTTCTTCTGCCTCTCAAAGATTCAGGCAAGTAGGAGAAGCTCCCACTACCTATATGCAAACCATTATTAAACCTACAAAGCAAAAGTGTTATTAGGGGAAAAATTACCCTATTAATTGCCTACAGTAAGTTGAAGTCATGAGTTTTATGGCTATATTGGGAGTACATTTTTCTAAACAGTTAGCATTTGTCTGTTCCCCTTAAAGTAGTCTTTGTACTTCTCATATTCACGCTGCTAACCTGTCTTCTCACTGTATTGGGTAGTTAATAGCTCTGTAGATTTTACTGCCAGCAGGGGTTTAGTGCAATATTGATCTAACATTTCCAAATAATGGCAGTAATTTTGGTATAGGTTTTTCCTCTTTTGGAATAAACTAAAATTGGTTAGATTTATTTTAAGTGAGGCGCAAATCATGGCATTGAAGTAAATCAGAGTGTGTATCTTAAATGTGAATTTGTGATTGGAATTTGGTTCCTTAGTGGCATGCCGTTTCTGAATCCCTTTCCTTTGAATTTTCTCTCCTCAAACCTATAACTCTTCAAGAAACACTAATTTTTAATGTTTGCTGAAATTCAGAAAAGTAACTGAACGCCACTCAGATGGAAGAATGTATTTTTTTAAGTGGGAAAACATACCTTAGTGCAGAGATTTAAACAAGATCTGGTCACATTGTAGAACTGGTCATGTTGTAGAACTACAACCTAAAACTTCCTGTTTTCTTTCTGAAATGGTTTATTTCAATGTCGTAATGTTCTTTGTTTTTAACCTCGCTGTTTACAGAGGTGCAGGAGCCGATGGGCTCTCTGGATTGTGCTGTGATTTGTCAGGAGTTCAGTCATCACAATTGACCCATGCATCTTGTAATACATAGAGAAAACACGTTGAGCTCTGTTCTTGGAACAGATAAATATAGAACTGCTATTGTGAATATTCTTGTAGTGACGTACTTAATCTAGAAAGCTAACAATTCTTTTATTTGCTTTTAGGGTTTGAAAGTATTCTAGAAGGCCTGTTTGGACCTGGATTATTAAAAGATCTCAGTTTGTTTAAAGGTATTCAATCTCTATGTTTGTATCTTGTTCTTCATTTCTAATGACAGAAGCAGCCCCAGCTCTGCCTCTAGAAAATGTGTGTTACCGTGGTGATTTGTGCTTTTTTCCCCCTCCCCCAGGCAGTGCTCACAGTTAGTTTCATATTGGCTAAAATTACTAATGAGTGTGCGTTCATCTTTATGTAGCTGGGAGTGTATTTGGCAGTGCTTGGAAAAACAGATTGGTTGTGCATAGATAAAATGTGTACAGTTTGGTAATCTGGGGATTTAGAAAAATGGCCAAAATGAAGCCTGTATCCTCAGAATGCAGGCAAGAATGTGGTGAAACAGGTATTTAATTTGGCATTTCTCTTTTGGCTCCAGTTGTGTTGCGCTATATGAATACGAAGTAATGTGCTATTCCTCTGATTTACAGACTGTGAGCCTGAAGGTGTTTCTGATTGGTCTTTTGATGAAAATTGTCTTTTCTGCTGCCTGAGAAGAGAAAAAGTGAAGGTAACAATGCAGATGTGTGAAGCTAGTAGTTGTAGGGGAGGGACAAAGGGAGGGAGCTTGCTCCTAGTTAAGTGAACACAGAAAATCTGCAACCTCCTACCCCTTTCCCCTCCTTCGGAAAAAGGCTTTTTGAATTAAAATAGTGCAAGTTAATGAACAGACTTGCCTCTTCTCTGCAACTTTGTGGGATGTGATCCACATTTCTAGTCTTCACCCCCCCCCCCCCCCCCCCGTGTGTGTAGTGGCTCTTTTTGTTTGGTTTGGTTTTTTTGAGTTCTTTGTAAGGGATCTTGTTGGGATCATGAAACCCTTCCCAAGGGAGCCAAACTGTGGCTTGTGCATGTTTACTATAGTCGGATGCTGGGCTTATCTTCAGTATGGAAATGTGGTCCTTTTGACAGCCTAGAGTCTTGTTCTGTATCTTGGAATCTCTTACCCTATGGGCCATATCCTTTTATTAAAGGGCTCATATGTATGGTAGATTTTGTACTGTGCTTGTTTATAACCAAGTCATAGAATCATAGATCATAGTCAAAGCCTAAACATGGAAAAGACAGCTTTGTCCGCGTAATAAACTTACTGTTGGTTTTCTTAATGAGATATAGCAGTATACAAAGCAAAGGCTCTTGTGCTATATGTGATTGTTTCTCAGCCCTTGTGTTGCAATAGCAATTGTTCTGTAGCATAGGAAGGAAGGCAGGCTCATCTGTCTTGGCAAAACTTCATTTGCTGGAACTTTAACTACTACTTCTTCCTGTACAATGTAAAGTAACACACAGAGTGGATCTCTATCAGCTTAGGAATGAAACAAAAGCA